TCTGAGTTCTGTAGACAATGGATAAACCTGGTAGCCAAGCTCTATGTCAGCTGGTCTCTGCTGCATGTGAATCTATAAACCAGTTGGGAAAACACTCCGCAGAGCCAGAGCAGTCAGCACTGTTGGCTTCAAGTGAACAAGTCGATCCCTGGAATTAGGTGGGTGGCTAACGAATGGATTAAGACCCTTGGAACAAGGATGATATTTCATGTGAGTGCAGAGGGGCCATCTATTAAGAGTTCATGAGGGAGGGGGAAGTGGAGAGGAAGGGGGGTGGGATGACTTATTTCAGGAGCCCAAGCGGAAAGCGAGTGTTTTGAGAATGTTGAGGGCAACAAATGTATAAGTGTGCTTTACACAATTGATATATGTATGGATTGTGCTAAGAGTTGTGTGAGCCCCAATAAAATGATTTTTTTTTAAATTTAAGGATCAAAATGTATGCACACACAAAAACAACTCCAGGGGGTTAATGATTTAATGTAAACATTAAATGCTAGCACAGGTATTTAGAGACTATATTATCAAAGGTCAGCCGTTTGAACCCACCAGCTACTATGCAAAAAAGACCCCGCCACATGCTCCTGAAGATTGCAGCCCTGGAAATCCTATGTGGCAGCTCTCCACTGCCCCCTAGAGGCAATGAGTCAGAAACAACTGCACACAACAATGATGCTGCTGATGCCTTTGGAGGGCCATTTTAACCCAGGTAACAACTTCACAAGCTATGATATAGAACATGGACAGTGTTGAAAAAGAAAAGTAAAAAACTGCATGAGAAAAAAATTGGCCACAAACAATGGTAAAAGACAAATGCTAGGGTGATGTTTAAATTGGTTCTTAGGGTGGAAAACAAATTGTTCTCTCAGGTAGGAAGAACTTTTATACAAGAAATCAGATGCTTACTAAATTGTCAGGCTGAGGTGGGTGGGAGGGAGGTAAAATCTTTCCTGGCTTTGAGAAATTCCAGTAGTACATGACTTATAGGGGCAGCTTTGCCGTTGATCTCTGCTGCGTACAGCACAAGCAAGACCACACAGAAGACTCCCCCCCCCCCCTGTCTTCTGTTCATGCAGAGAGAAGGTTGCTCTCTTCTTACTCCTTATTTCACGTGCGTGCCTCTCATTGGTGGATGGGAAATAAGACCCTATCGCCAAGGGGATCTGGGAAATGGAGTTTCCAGTGTTAATAGCACTTGTAGCCAAACCCAGCCTTCAGCCACTGAGTCTATTCCAGCTCCCAGTGACCCTGGAGGGTGGAATAAAAGTGACCCCTTGCGTTTTTGAGACTACATGTTTATGGGAGCAGATCGCCTCATCCTTCTGCACAGTCATTGGGGGGTTCAAACAGCCAAACTGAAGATTAGCAGCCCAATGCATAACCCCCTTCACCAGGGCAGCGCTTGCTTATAGACGGGAGGCTTAAAGGAGCAAGATGTTGCCGAGTATCAATCAATAGCTGAAACAGCTGGGGAAGCGGTGTGGGAGGAAGTGCAGAAAGCACGTTAAGGAGATTGCAATGGATGAGTTGAAACAAAATGAATGCACTTAAAAAACTTTAAAAACTCAGTAAATCTTTACCTAATTCACAATAAAATGTATTGTTTGTCAAAAGAGAATAATAGGTGTTTGTGAAGATTTGAGAGGCTGGAGCCCGCATCCGTTACTGATTACACTCGCTGTGGGAATGGTTAGCAATTCCTCAAAAGGTTGAACATGTTAAATCTCAGCTGGTTGGTTCAACTCCCGATGGTGCTATACACAACAGAAGAAGACACTGCCCAGTCTTCTGCTAACCTCCTAATTGTTCTGTTCTTGATCCCATTGTTGCAGCGATGGTGTCCATCTATCTCCTTGGGGGCCTTCCTTTTTTTGCCGCCCTCTGCTATATCAAGCATGATGTCCTTCTCCAGGGTTTCTGAGACGAAATCTTTAAGGGAGCAAAAAGCCTCATCTTTCTCCAGCGGAACAACCAGTGAGTTTGACCTTGATATTAGCAGCTTGACTTCAAAACAAATTACATAACCAGTGCTCCTGTTGTACGTATCTACAACGGAATATTAGTCATAACAGAAATGAAGTCCTGATACTTGTTAGAACATGGACGAGTGCTGAAAACGTGCCGAGTCTCTCACAAAAGGACAAACATTGTTTGATTCCATTTTTATGAAACAGGTCAATATGAGTATTGCTACCATCAGTATAGAAATACACTTTACTCACTATAACATTAAGTGTTGTCACTTAAATGTGGCAGATTGTCCTCCTGCTGTGCATAAGGCACCATGGTTTGGAGCTGTCGCGATGGTCCCTAACAACCACAGCAAGGGATGATGTTGGCATCGGGATGGATTGCATTTTATCTATAGATCATTTTGGGTAGTATTGACATTCACAATGTTAAATCATATCCACGATCCTGATGTACACTCTTCCATTTATGTAGGTCTTTCCTGGTTTCTTGCAGTAATGTTTTGTGGTTTTCTTTGCCCAAGTTCTATGTTCCTCTGGTTAGATTTATTCCTAAGTATTTAATCTTTTTGTTGGCTATTATAAACGACATTGCTTTCCTTTTTAGACGTCTCTTTGTTAGTATAAAGCAGGGGAGTCAAACTGGCAGCCCACGGGCTACATGTGGCCCCCGAGGTAATTTTTTGTGGCCCACGATGCTCTGAAATAAAATGAAAATAGAAAAAAATGTTATGAAGAAAGTAGCGCTTAGGGGAGATCAAAGCAATACCGTACATACAATTCCCTTGTTACATTTTATTTCAGAGCATCGTGGGCCACAAAAAATTACCTCGGGGGCTGCCAGTTTGACACCCCTGGTATAAAGGAATGTGGACCATTTTGTGTGTGTGTGACAAATTTTTATATGATGATCTTGTACCCTGCCCGTTTTCTGAATCTTTCAATTACGTAGCTCCAATTTTCTTATTTAGCCTTTGGGATTTCCTATATATAGGATCATAGCATCTGAAAATAGAGATTTTTCCCCTCCTTTGATAAATTGGATGCCTTGAATTCCATTTCTTTCCTGGTAATTCTTGTTAAGACCCCAGGCACAATACTGAATAGGAGTGGTGATAAAGGGCATGCTTGTCTTGTTCTCATTCACAAGAGAAGGCGTTCAGGTCCCACTGAAAGTCATGTTGGCTGTTGGTCTTGCATGTATGTTCTTCAGTAAGATTTTCTCTCCTCATCCTATTTTGTATCAAATCCTATTTGATAAAATCCTGTTTTATCAGGAGTGGGTATTGGATTTTCTCAAATGTCTTTTCTGTGTCTATTGATAGGATCATGCTGTTTCTCTCTTTTATTTTTATGATTGTTATATTGATTATTTTCCCAATGTTGAACCATTCTTGCATACCTGATATGAACCCCATTTGGCCTTGATGATATTTTGATTTATTATGGTTTCTATCTGAAAATGTCTTAATTTCACCATAATATGTGAGAGACAGATTCTTGGTTGGCCATTTGTTCCTCTCAGTTTTGTATGCCGCATCCCGTTGCCTTGTCCACTGACCAATGAGAGTCTCCGCTTGAGGAGCCCCTCTCTAGGTAACTTTGTGTTTGACTTGAGCGGCTCTCAGTGTTCTTTCCTTGTCTTTGGTTTTGGAAAGTTTGATTATGATATGTGATGTTTTTGCGGGACTCACCTGGTTTAGGGAGTGGATTATCTTCTTCCATGATGGTAGGGAAGTTTTCTTCCAACAGCTCTCTGTCAAATTTCTCTGCTTTTTGTTGTTTTTCCCTGTTCTGGAATTCCTACCACACAGTTATCCTCTTGATAAGGCCCCACATGATTCTCTGGCTTTCTTTTACTTATTTTGTTCTTTTTCAATTGTTCCTCAAGCAGATTAATATTGATTTGTCTTCAAGCTCACTAATTTGGGCTTCCATTGAATCAAATCTAACCTTTTGTACTTCCAATACATTATTTCTGAAATCTTAACATTAACCTTTTTGAGTTCTGTTTTACTTTTGTATGGTTTTCTAATTACTCATTTATTTTGTTTGTTCTTATAGTGCTTTCTTAAAATTGTCTAAAGGTTTTGTTCTTTTCTTTCCCACCTTTATTTAGCATGTTGCTTTCACAATCTTCTCAATTGATTTAGTGTAACTAATGATCATTCAGTCACTTTTTTTGAACCCCTCATCAGGTAATTCTCATGCTTTTTCTTCTTGGTTGATGTTCAGTCCACTCCTCTGTGCTATCAGTTTTGAAATCAGGGGTCCAGGATTCTCATGCACATTTGTTGCATCTTCAGTCTTTGTTATCGAGAGTGATCATGGCTGCTTAGTCTAACATCTTGTGAGGACTTTTTTTAAAAATCATAAGTAGAGGGGATGGTGAGGTGCCATCTTATTGTGATTTTTGTTTGTATGACGTTGACTATCTTTTCATGTGTTCCTTTAAATATCCTCTTTGCTGAAATGTTTGTTCAAGTCTTTTGCCTATTTTTCAATTGGGTTGTCTTTTTATTGATAAGTTGTAGGATTTCTTAATAAATTCTGAGTATTAAATCTTTATCAGATATACACTTCCTCTACATTTTTTTCTCTTTGTGTTTTTGAAAATTCTGTTTCTTTTAATTTAAAAACTATACAATGTTTATGAGACAGTTATTTGTGAAAACAGTATAGACAAACCTGCACT